TGAGGACCCTTATCATCTATCAAAGTGCACTTCCTTTCAACAAGTGACTGATGTGCCAAATCAAACTTTTTTAAATAAATGTAATGATTTTTATAAAATGAATATTGTATTGCTAAAACATCGTCTTTCACATATGAGGCTTGATTTCTTAACCGGAAGTATTGAAAGCTTATTGTCATCGTTCTACAATACATTAAATCTAGCTATTGCTGCATCTGCTCCGATTAAGCAGTGCCGACATCGAAGCAGGTGTCCCCCCTGGTTTAATAAGACAATTAAATATTACAAGAATAGAAAAAACACGCTATTCAGAAAATATTCGAAAGGTGGCTCTGCGCTCGACTATTTCGCTTACTCGGTGGCGAAGCATAGATTTAACTCCCTCAACCAACATTATTACTGTAGATACCTTCAGTTCATTAAATCCTCTCTGTTTGCTAATCCTAAATACCTTTTTAAATTTGTTAATTCTAAAGGAAATTTTGCACATAACCCTCTCATGTTTGTTTTAATGGGTCTGATTCCTCGGATGATTTTGAAATCTCAAATCTGTTTGCGCAAACTACCCATATCCTATAATTAACTCTGTTTCAATTCCTAACTTGGTAATTTCGGAAGATGGCGTTTTTAAAGGGTTGACTTCTCTAAAATATTGTTGTGAGCCAGGACCTGATGGAATTACATCATGTGTACTTAAATCTTGCTCTGTCGAGTTATATGGTGTTATCTCAAAGTTTTTTAACCGGTGTTTGAATTTAGGTGTTTTCCTTTTGTGTTGGAAGAGTAGTTTCCTTATTCCCATTCACAAAAGCGGAAGTAGGCAACTTTTTGAGAACTACAGAGGCATAGCCAAGTTGAGTGTCTTGCTTAAGTTATTTGAGCGAGTTACGACTTAGAATTTGGCATTTACCATTAATTCGTATATTTCTCCACAACTGCATGGCTTTCGTGAAGGGCGATCTACGATCACCAATTTATTAAAGTTTACTTGTTATATTTTCAAGGCTTTTTCTAGTGGCTCTCGCACAAATGTAATATACACTCATTTAAGCAAAGCGTTTGGTTTGGTTAACCATAACTTACTTATCTTTAAACTCCAAGCCTCTGGCTTCCCTTCCTATTTAGTGAATTGGATAAGCTGTTATCTGCACAATAGATCATTCAGTGTTTAGTGTAACTTCGTTACCTCGGATATTCATCCCCGTGACGTCTGGCGCACCTCAAGGCAGCCATTTTATTTAGTTTATAGATTAATGATCTCCCATCGGTGGTTAATTCCAGCCAGATCTTAATGTATGCGGATGATGTGAAACTGTTTTCCTCCTTCTCTGTTGAATCGCAGTCACATCAGCGTCAAGGTGACTTGGATAATTTTGTTGCATGGTGCTCAGTGAATCTTCTGAAACTAAATCTGAGTAAATGTAAGAAGCTTTCTCTCTCAAGGAGAAAGTCATTCATTACTCAGTATTTCATAGATTCGCATAAGTTGAAGGACGTCGATTCGATCACAGATTTAGGCGTTCTATTTGACCATAGGTTACCTTTCAACTTGGATATTGAGCTCTTCTTAAGCAAAGCTAGCTCCGCGCTGGTTTTATAAAGAGGTGGTGCAAAGAGCTTGATGATCCCTACATTACGAAAAGGCCGTACATGTGTTTGGTTAGACCCATACTCGAGTATACCTCTGTAGTGTGGTCTCCTTCATATAGGTGCTATTTAGATTCAAATGAATCTGTTCAAAAGCAATTCTTGCTGTTTGCCCTTAGGAATTTGGATTGGGATCCGATTGCCTCTCTTCCTCCCTATGAAAATAGGTTCCTTCCGCTGTCCTTACCGTCTTTTGAGAAACATAGATTTGTTCTTGGCGTTTCCTTTGTAATCAAAGTAATAAAAGGTGCTATTGACTCGCCTTTATTACTTGGTGAAATAGGCTCCCTAACCGCTTCTCTAGGCACTTTATCTTGGTTAAGCTTAGTCAGCGTAAATATAATTATGAACTGTTCAATCCAGTCAGAGTAGTTTGCAAGAACCTAAATGACGTCTATCACTTATTCTCGTTATCGGACTCTTTAAAGTCCATTAAAGCAACATTGCTTAATACGCGCGATTTACCTATGTCTTACTTAAACTAGGTTTTATCCTTTAAAGTCGTTACGATTGGAAAATGAATTGTTGTTAAGTATTTTCGGTTACCAGACTTATGCATGTTTGCGATGGCTTAGGGGTTCATTTGCAATTTGGTCCTGTACCGGTTGTAAGTGTGGCTCTATGCTGGTTGTGTACATGCTTTTTTTCTTTTTTTCCATCTTATTTGTTTTATTGTACTTATACTAAGTTTTATTATTAATTTAATATAAGTTTTGCTTTAAGTGCCAATTGAACTCGACTGTTATTTGCTTAGTTGAATTTTATGTATAAGTAGAATTAAAATAAATAAATAAATAAATAAATTAATAAATAAATAGGGCTTTTTGTAATCACTCTTTCTTTGTGAATGAAGAACTATTGTATCGATACGACAATAACTTTCAATTTAGAGCTTCCACTAGTAACGAAGGATGGCGCGCGGTACAGTGTATTATATCAAATGCTGCCGGTAACGATGCTGTTAGTATAAGTATCATTCTACCTTTGACTCATGTTCTAAATTATATCATTACCACTTGTTCATTTCCTGATTGTTGGAAATTCTCTGTTGGATTGTCTCTGCGTTGTAGAAAATTTTTGAACGGTTTAGATCACATCAGATGGTGCTACATATAAACACGAAGAATTTACTTTGTGTGAATCAGCGAGATTATTCAGTTGAGTACTAAGGTACATATTAATTTCGCGGTAATGCATGCTCATATTATTTTGAGGAAATTGTGGCTCTCTTCATCTTATATTCCCTTGTTCACTACACTACGTCTGGTTGAATGTTTCATATTTTGTGGCCAATATATATAGGATAACTTCTTACAATAGGCTTCAAGCAGTTGTTAATAATTGCGCCAGATGTGTGTGGTAAACTCATCGAACTCGTTGCTCTTCAGTGCTAAACTGATGCTTAGTCCAAGGCTGTAAGGGCTCTCTATAAGTGACTGAAGACTGACTGTCTGTATCTATGTTTTCTTACTATATTGTACTATATAATTATAACTACTCAAGTAGTATACTATTGGTCTCAATTATTTCGCGAGGGACGTTTTAATCTTATTAGCACTTACATTATTACTAATTATAATAATAATTATAATAGTATAATTGTATTCTAATTTTTAATAATGACTGTTATTATTAACTGATAGTAAACTGAACTGAAAATAATTTATGATCCAGGTTAATATGAAACACACCTTGAGTTTGTAAAGTCTACAAAAACGATGATATAAATTTTTGGAAATTTGTAGTGATTAGTCTAAGTTGAATATACAAAAGTAAACAAAGAGTAGGGAGGGAGCCTAATGCAGCGATGAAAATGCAACATTTATCATCAACTGAGAAGCATGGTAAAGGCCCTGTTATAGATTGGGGTTGGAGTGGTATAAAAATCGGTGGATCTTAAAACTTTTCAAACTGTTTCGGGATAAATACTAATTGGCTTACAATTTTCTAGGTGTATTGCAATATTAACAGCACTAGTTTTGGGCTCATTTGCTACAATTCTGATAATATCTCGTTTTTCGCGCTTTGGAAGTTTCTTTGGTTGGCCTGATTGGTACTTATTTTTGGGATATTTGTATGATTGTAGTTTTTTTTATAATAGTCTGATTAGTAAGACGATTAATTCGAATAGTTTTGCCACTTCTTTATACGATCTTTTCCCGCTTTTTATCTTTATAATCACATTTCTAACTTCTTGAGAAATTCCCCTGCGCTTTTACACATTTTGTGACATGTTAAGGAAGAAACTCGATTTAATTTATGAATTATTTCTTACATGTACGAAAAGCGAAACTAAATTCTGTTAACTAAAGAAGTTTTTTTCGAACGTTCTAGTGATGTGTTTTCGCTCTATGTAAACTTCTCTCTGCTATTTTTGGTATTGAATTATATATTTTATATCTTATATATCTTAACAAAAAAAATATCTTGAATTCTTGTTTAATATAAGATTTTGTCTCTTAAGAAATATATTTTTTGACCTTTAAACCTCTTAGTTTTTCGTACTATATGTGGATTTTATTGGGCTAGCGTATATAGCAACATACTTTTCTCAATTAAAGCTGGGAACTCTGTCAATTGAATATTGCACGCAAATATTTTGCCGTCTTATTATGTAGCGGAAATTAACAACAACAACAAGCTTTGGGTCAGAAAAATTTGCAGATACTTCATTTACATAAAAAGGGCTGCATTTTTTTGAGAAACAAGATACAAATGTATCGTATAGATATATATATAAATATACATATATGTATATAAATACATATAAACCAATACGACGTTATATATTTCTAATCAACAATTCAATCAATTTCAACACCATAAAAACCAATACTATTTTATACCATACCATATAAACCAATACTACTTTATATATTTCTAACCAACAATTCAATCAATTTCAACAAAAAATATCAGACGTATCCTTGATTAGTAACGCTTTTGTTGGTTATTATTTCTGCTTTGACTATACCTATGTAAATTAATATGTGTGTAACTTTATGTATTTGCAAGTGAGAATTGATTTTTCTATACACACTGCCATAGTATGTTTTAGTGGTAGTTCGAGTCACTTCTTAATTTTAGATTTGTACCATTAAAGTGTGTGTTCACTGGTGTTTTCGCTGAAATGAAAATATATTTCAACTAATAGTAATAATCATACAGGCAGAAAATCTAATAAACCTATTTTCTGTATTGAGATAGATTTGTTTATTACCAAAGGGTGATATTCTCATTGATTTAACAAATCTCGACATTACAAGTGAAGAATTCGCCTCATTACAAAAAAACAGAACACGCAAGGAACGTAATCAGTCGCTCGATTTAAATAACTTAATTTCGTGTAATTAGTTTTTATTTAATACAATGTAGTAGATTGTATAAATTCAACAGGAGTATGTGTTTCTATGAACAAAAGAAATCCGCAAAAGGAGAAGAAAAAGAAGTAATATATAAAATAATCAAAGCAGTGCGACTAATTAAGACATATGCTAAATCAAAAAAAGGAAATGATTACATATAGCTGACTTTATTACTTGTTATTAGAGACTAAACAATGATTAGTATTTAATGGTGATATGTTGCTCAGTTAAAAAGCCACTTGATACGAAATAGTTTTTTGTTTTAAAAAAAATAAGAGATGTGGCCGGGATCCAATATTGGTTGCAAATATTCCGCCGAGTCTAGAAAATAGGCTCCTGAAAGTATTTTGCTATAATGATAACATTTTAACAGCACAGGATATTCATAGTTTCCATTGAATTTTAATTTAAAATTCCAAATAGTCTACACCGTAAATTCTTCACCGATCATCTCACGCTGCAGTTAGTCGCCATTTTTTGTACAAATATATGTGCTCAGGTCTTTTAATTGAATACTGGGTTTTTCAAAGTTAAGGGTTTTACGGCCTTCGAATGTAAAAAAATTCGTATGCTTTAAATTACTATTAATACATGTCGCTGCTGATAAAATGTGCTTTTGTGTGAACGTTATAAATTTTCAGAATGCAAACAATGCTCTCTCCTAAGGATGTTACCCAAAAATTGCAAGATTCAATTAATGGTACAGATATTAATTGTGACAGTGGTATACATACTAATCACAATCACCAACATCCGTCAGTTCACATTGGCCAGCAGTTAAAACACATCTCGCTAACACGACGTGAAACTAATAGCAGCAAGAACAATGAAATGAGCTGGTCTAGTGGTGCAAATATGAATGACGGATGTCCTAATAATATACGACGAAAAACTTCGTTACACTATCAGCAAAAATTGATGACTAACAAAGAGTCAAACACAGAGGAGCCCGAACATGCTAATATTAATTCAAAAGAGTTATTTTTAAACCATTCCAAATTGCCAACCCCGACAATTGAACGCTATGAGGACACGCTGAGTTGTTGTCTTCCACCTCCTTCTCCGGCCCCTAACAGTGATCATTTTGTAAGTGATACATGCATAGTTACTTCGTCCAAGACGGCATCAGACATACAACCTAAACTGCATCATCAACTACCATTTCCCTCGTCGAATTCCACCAGCGCTCTAACGACTAATTCTTTGCATGGTGGGAATAGTTGTTCTGCCTCGAATGTAATGAAATCTACTATCAACAGTGCCAGTGGCATTAGTATATCAGTAACGAGTGCGTGTGGCACACCAAGTGTTCATCAACCCTCACATAAATATTCATCGTTCAGCCATTCCTTATTGGGAAATTTCAACGTGGCAGAGCCAATCGCGCAAAGACCTGCTTCACCGAGTTCGAACCGATATCGTCTAGCGGAACGTTATCGTGATAGTGCACAGTCTCTTAATTGCAGTTCAGGATCTACTGCAGCCCGCTATGCACCATCAACAATGTATTTTCTGGGTCAAGGTACCACTCATATGGTAGCTGGGGACACATATTCTTATATGTCCTCTACTGTGCATACACCAATTAAACGCTATGTGCCAACACCACCCCCACACAATGAATTCTATCCAACTGAAACTAATGGAAATCTTCTTCATACTCCAGCAGCTTCATCGGTTATGTCAAAATGCGACAGTAATAATAGTAGTGACGGTAATGATGTTGAAATTAATGTTACAAACACTACGAACTTTGCAGTAACCACCCAACATTTAAGTACCCTGCCTATTCGCGTGGGCATGCGCATTAGATGTTGTTCTAGTGAAACTACTGGTGGTGATCTTGAACAGGCGTTGATGCAAACGCAACCGTTAAATACAAACCAATCCTTGACCTCTGCTGACTTATATAGTACATCGCCTCGTTTACAAACTTCAAATGTTTACAATAATGGTTCTCTAAAAATGAATGCTAACAGCGCTAACTTCACTGTCGTATCATCGGCATTACAAACCACATCTAGTTCTTTAATAGGTGGCAAAGACTCTCCTTCAATGAACTTACACGATCAGCAACAACAAATCTCTCTTAAACGAAGACATAGTCAAAATTTTAACAACAGCATCTCTTCGTCCAACTATATATCAAGTGCCCTAAGCTCGTTGTCGCCTACTTTGGTAGTAAATGATATTGCCAATCTCGCTCGGCATACAACATCACGTACTACGCCCTGTCTTCTCAATGATTTTAACGAACATCCGAAAAATCATGCTTTGGATTATGTCAGCACTTTACAACCCGACGATCCTGCCGCTAACTGGAAAAATAATATTAATAATGGTATAGGCAATGGCAGTACATTGCCTGCTACCTGCATGCATTGTAAAACCGTACGTCGCACTACTGGTGTGCATCAAACTACGCAGACTACGGGACCTATAAGTCCAATACCAATGTTAACGTCAACTCAACCAACAATTCATGCGAATAATCGCGTCCCGGTAAACTTGGTAGGCGGCGTTGCAATGAATCTGTTAGGATCTAACGACCAATCAAACTTTAATTACGTTTTATCACCTTCAACAACAGAATCTCATATTTCGCCCTTAACTCCGCAGGGCGCCAATGCAATTTCTGCTACTTTACAGCAGCCACAGCAAGCAGAGCGCCTATTAAATAAAAAAACGAATGTATTTAATCATCAACAGCACCAACAATATTCCGAAATCAAGTCTAATAATCATGTATTAACTACACCCGACCACCTAATGCATTTAGAACAGCAGCAGGTCACATCAGCGCAAATTATTTCAAACAGTGCGGGACATATGAACGCTGTACAGCAATTACAAGTCCAACAGCAACCAACAGCTGTAGCGCCTCAATCATCGAAGCACCAACGGGTTTCGACGAAAAGACGTTTAACATGCTATGTCCAAAAGAAAATTTCGCGATTTTTTGGAGTCAATTTGGCGACAGAAATCCACGACTATGCCTTATGGCAAAGTCGGCAACGACGGTTAGCCTTAAGACGATTTGGAACTCTGAAAACTGATAGTGAATTGCAAGACGATTTCAATGATGTATGTAGTGTAACAAACGATGTTGGACGAAATACTCTCTCAAATAATGGTGGTGGATTAGATATTGAAATACAATTTCCCCAACATCATCAATATCACCACCATCATTACCACCATCAAATTTATGAGAGGCCGGACATCTTGCCAGCACGTGACGCAGACGAAGAAAATATTGGATCCATTAGACATCATCATCAGCATTCTTACTTCAACATTAATTTTCACTTAGGAGATAATGTCGAGCGGAAGGCATCAGTCGCATCCATGTTGATATCTAGCTTCAGCTATGTCGTACACGCCATTAATAATCATCAACCACGACTTTTCCAAAGGCAGTGGTCACGTAGCTTTTTACCCGCCCATGTTCAACAGCATATTAGCAACGATCTTGCAGGCGATAACAATTGCAATATTATATATGATGATATTGTTGCCTTACAAGAGGACGAAATATTTTATGATTCCTCTCAAATCACTGAACAGATCGCTTCTTCCGCTATAAATCAATGTAGCGAGAATAACTTTACTGAGGAGAACAGTGGGGCTAAAAGGCGTTCCGTCTCAAGTATTTCCCGCAGAACGGAGAGACAATTGTACCTAGCGGAACGGGTGAACGGTTGGCGTATTAATGCTATGTTTGATACAAGCGATAAAATATCGCATTCAAATTCTCAACCTATAAACAATACCCAGCAACAACAACAATTATCATCACATCGAACCTCTTTGATGCAAACCCAGAAGCAATTGCACCATACAAATGGCATTCGCGCTTGCCGTATCTCATCCCAATTGTTAGACAGCGTGTTGGAGAATTCGCGACGTCCGATAGAACGACGAGTTAAGTTATTTTGCATCAATGATTTAGATGATCGCACTGATCATCGCCCGTTTTTCACTTACTGGATAAATACTGTGCAAATTATTGTGCTGACCCTTTCACTGTTGTGCTATGGTATTGGTCCAATTGGTTTTGGCATTGAACATCGAACGGGACAGGTACTAGTAACCAGCCTAAGCTTACAAACAGTGCAGCATAATGAACAACGTAATGTTTGGATAGGGCCACGGAATAACGACTTAGTTCACATGGGCGCTAACTTCGCCACTTGCATGAGACGCGACGTTAAAATAATGGACATAATGAGTAAAACACGCAGGCAAGAGCGTGAGACAGCATGCTGCATACGTAATGATGACTCAGGCTGCGTCCAAAGTTCACAAGCTGACTGTTCTGTGCGTGGTCTTTTCCCAACGGTATGTGGTAGCAAATGGCCGATATATGAATTGCATAGTTATCGCATTATTTGTTTGAATAGAAGTCAATATCGACATGGAAAAAGTGGTCGCCGGGGGACTCCGGACCGGGCGGGCGTATTTCAGGTTCTGTTTGCGGACTTGATCCAAAATATTGCGATGCCCCTGCTTCTATAGCACCCTATGAATGGCCGGATGATATTACCAAGTGGCCAATATGCCGCAAAACTAATTCATTCTCGCAGCGTTTTCGGTTCAAAGACCACACTGCTGAGCACATGGTATGCGAAGTTATCGGACATCCTTGTTGTACCGGTGTGTATGGTGAATGTCGCATCACAACTAGAGAATATTGCGATTTTGTTAATGGTTACTTTCACGAAGAGGCGTCCTTGTGCTCACAGGTGCTGACTGAGCTCTCTTGTTATATGCCTACGGCATATTTCAGTTCTTATTTTTTTTTTTTCCTATATTTTAATATTATCTTGCTGGTTTCAGATTTCATGTTTAAGCAATATATGCGGAATGTTTCCTTTTGTAAACATTGAAGTGCCAGATCAATTTTATCGCTTATTCACATCTTTGTGCATACATGCGGGAATTTTGCATCTAGTGATAACAGTGGTATTTCAACATTTCTTTTTAGCCGACTTGGAACGTTTAATGGGCCCTCTGCGGACTGCTATTTTATATATTGGGTCCGGTCTTGCAGGAAATTTAACTAGTTCCATTCTAGTGCCATACAAACCAGAGGTAAATTCACTGAAAACTGGCGTATTTTGTATAACAAAAATTTTTGAGTTTACCAGGTGGGCCCTTTAGCTTCGTTGTCTGGAGTGACGGCAGCCCTAGTTGTGTTGCTAACTTTTACGCATTGGAAACAATTGCGTAAACCACATCTTGCATTATTCAAACTGCTAATAATTTGTGGTTTTCTGTTAAGTTTGTGCTCGTTGCCTTGGCAGTCGAATTTCACGGGCTTATTGGCGGGTACTTGCTGTGGAATATTTCTCACGATGGCTTTGGTGCCGTTTGTAAGCATCAATAGATATCGACGTAAGCCAAAGGTAAGTTAAGTGTATTCATTAAGCTTTGTTCCGTACTGATGTGCTTAATTGCTATTTACAGATTAACATAATTTGGTCTTGCATCATCTTTCATATGGTAATCTATACTACGATGTTGATTACTTTCTATATGTTTCCTATGGAATTGACTAAACTGAATTTGGTCGATGTGCTGACGAGCACAACAGATAAAAGTAGTATGATTAATACACGTGGCGACATTATAAGTGGCAGTTCTGATGGAATGAACAGCAATAACAATCGTCATTCGTTTATGCCGCAACAGCAACATCATCATCATCACCAATCAAATGATATTATTAGCAACAGTGTGTCTGCAGCATTTGCAGCAGCTGTGTTGTCACTGTTTAATAGAGAAACGAATGCGAAACTGAGTACTTATCCACAATCGAACTATTCCTTAACTTAAATATTATTTAACGAAAAGAGTTAAAATATCATAATACTTATTGCTCTGAAGTTAGGGCTATGTAGCAGTCTTACGAACTTTCTAAGGGTACGCGGAATCATCTCAATTCGCAAGGTATCATATGACAGTAACGCATAAACAAAAATATGATAGAGGTAAATTAGGAATGAAAGCTCGAAAACGATATACATGACCGTTTATATAAGAAATATCTATAGTAAAATAAAGTTTTACAATATGTTTCTTTTCTATAAGAAATTTTTCTTCTCTTTTATTATAGAAAAGATCAAAAAGAAGAAAGATTGGTATAAAACGTAATAATAACTGTGTTTGTTGTTTTTATAACACCGGTGAATATATATAGATATATATGGAAAGAATTACAAACACAATTATTAACTTTTATACCAAAATCAAATCTTTTGTTTGTGCGGTACTGTCATAGGTCACGATAATGTTCCCGTTTATGAATTTGCAATCATACTTGTTTTTTTACTTATTAATACTCATGGAATGTATCAATCACGCTATGAGCTGAGACTTCATATATGTTAGCAAATGTTTTTCAGAGGCGACTTTAGCGCAACTCAGACACTTTCACAATGAAAAAAGAATAAAAACTATAAGAAAACAAGTACCAACGACTTCTAAGTGAGTTAAATGTGTCTTTAGAGTCTTGGATACTTACCAATTAACCTATATATGCCAAAATTCATAACTTTTTTACTGGGCTTGCTGCCAGGTCAACCGAAACAGTTTAGTAGAAAATTTATATGGGGTTTTATTGGATACAAACCAATCCAGCAAAAAATACAACACGACAATTTTTAACAGTATATTGTTATGAAATTCTGCTTTTCTAAAATAGCACACGTACCAATAGATCGTGCATATTCTTTTCAAGAGATATACACTTCACGTTTTCACTACAAGACTAAATAAAAAAAAAACCCTTTTATTTACAATCAGTTTGTTTTAGGGTAGAACTATCTACATTTTACTTTGCCAGTACTCTCGACTTCTCAACTCTAACATTCTTCTTCTACTGACTCAAGTGTTCTTGTCCGACATGACCCTACCTTCCGCAAGTAGTCTATCTATATACATTTTTACAAGCATGTTAATAGTAACCTAGGTAATAGTACCTAGGTAATAGTAACCGCCCCGAATTTGCATTTGGTTTTTCCCTGTCTGCTTTCCCGCTAATTTTTTTCACTGACCGGCAGGTGCATGACGCGTCGCGGATGAGCAATTGGGTTTCCCCTCGCTAGGGAATTTATTATTTGGGAAAATTAATTTTGCGGAATGAACTGAATTTGGGGATTACCGTAACAATATTATATATTTTCCGCAACTAAGGAACAACATATGATATATGAATATAGCCAAAGGCAAGTATTTCCTTAACGAAAAATTCTTCGTGTTTTTAAATTCAATGAACATACACGAAAGCAAAACTTTAGACATTGTTGAAATTGAAAACTCCAGTTCATTTAAAATAAGCGAAGAATTGTCTGCGTTATGAATTAACATTATTAAGCAAGCCTATTGTCCGATTTGCGGTTTTGAGTTGATGCTCACAGCCACATTATTTCTCAAAATTTAATTGGCAAACAAAGCAATAAATTGAATCATTTCAATAGATTTGAGGAAGTTTAGTATGCGTTGGGGAGTCATATGATTTTTTTCAGCTTTTTTGGTTTATTTGTCAGCCTTGCTCTTTCTCGAAATTGGCTTGTTAAAATCAAATAAAAGGACCCAACATTTGAAGTTTTGTAATACTTTGTAGGAGAGAGACGCAAATAGCCGGTCTTATTTGGCGACATAAACTTTGGGCGTTTCAAATAACAAGCAATATTTGAAATCCATATATGGATAGCCTATGTGTATACGTAAACGAAAATCTAATTGTGCGCAAAACGTACATAAAAAAATTGGTGTTAATGTTAGCGAAAGAATGAAGTTTTCTATTACGTAAATATAATATTCGAATAACAGTAAAGTCGTTTTATTATTGTATGGATTTTTGCGGAGAAATACATGTAAAATCGTGTAATATATATTTTAGTTTATATATTTAAAACAAATTAAAGGAACCATATAAAGATGTTTTATTAATGGCAAAGTTGATTATATATAATGGTATGGTTACTTTTTGAGCACTATGTACGCAGATTCTTCTTTTCATAGCTGGATTGTTTAAAATTTCTTCGGTAAACTTCTTGGCCTTCAACAAAATTCACCATTGTGGATCTTACGTCGTAGCTCTTTTCGTTTCTGTTAAATTACTTGGCTCTTTGATGTTTAGTTAATCGTCTTGTTAACTGAACTAAATCCTCACGAGATAATCGTATTGAGTGATCATCCAGAAGTTTTAGCTTCCGGAATAGGGAGTAAGCTTTTCCGTTGGTAACCATGTGTTGACCAAATACAACATAATACGGTTCTTTACCGGTCGCAGAATGAATGCTCGACCTCAAAGCACAAGCTATTCCACTCAGTTCTTCATCCCAATTCTTCTGATCTGCATTCACATAAGACCTTATTGCTGTTATTATAGTTTTGTTGACTCTTTCCGATGCGTTGGCTTGAGGTGAATGGACTGCAGTGAAAATTTGCTTCACATTATAACGTGAAAGCAGAGATTTGAATTTCTTTGCAACGAATTGAGCTCCGTTATCCGTTACAACAGTCTCCTGCACTCCAAAGGTATGGAGTACGTCTTTTTCTGTAAACTTACATGCCACATCAGTGTTGAGTCACTTGACAGGTTTGATAAAAGGAAATTTAGAAAAGTGATCAAATACTACCAGTATTCCGATATTTCCGTTACGAGAGCGGGGATAAGGACCAACAAAATCGACATAAAGTGTTTGTAGAAACCGGTCTGTGTCTGCCATTTTACCCATGAGTGGTCGGAGAATTTGGTTAGGATGCTTGTTAACTTTACAGGCTTCACAAGAGTTAATAAAGTCGCGAACACTAATGACCATACCAGGCCAATAATAGTATTTTTTTAAATTTTCCAAGGTTTTATTCATTCCAGCCTGCGCAGCTAAAAAATCTGCATGAGCACGCCATAATGCTTCATTCGTCATTTCGCTTGGTAACCAGAGCTTCCAGGAAAATTCGTCATGCAAGGCGTCGTTGTGTTTTTTGTTGCTACGTCTATAAATTCGGCCTTCCATTATTTTGATATCTGGGAAACTTGAGAGGTTTCCTTGAAAATCCTTGATCAAACTTAAATATTCGTTTGATTCAAAATATGGAGATTCCAAGTCAACAAATATTCCATGATCTATTTCCGCAATGTCATAATTGTTTATTATCGATAATGCGTCAGGTACAACGTTAAGCTTACCTTTGCGATGTATAATTTTGAAATTAAAGGCTTGTAATTTAAGTGACCATCTGGCTAAGCGTGAAGAAAGTTCAGTTTGAGACATCAACCATTTCAAGGAAGCATGGTCCGTAATTATTGTAAATTCATAACCTTCAATGTACGGACTAAATTTTTTTACGCTTAGTACCGCAGCTAAGCATTCTTGCTCAGTGACTGTGTAATTTCGTTGAGCCTTATTTAACTTTCTTGACTTTCTTGATTCGTCTTCTTCATTCATTTGTATCAACACTCCGCCAACCCCAGTATTACTCGCGTCACAATGAATTGCAAACGGTTTAGAAAAATCAGGACTGTGAAGAACAGGAGCAGTACTTAACTTAGTTTTCAGCACATCGAATGCTTTCTGTGCTTCTGATGTCCAAAGGAACTTTCGTTTAGTCCCTGTAAGATCAGACAACGGTGTCGAAATAATAGCATAATCTCCAATGAACTTACGATACCAGCCAGTCATTCCCAAAAATCGTCTTACCTCTTTTATGGATTTCGGAATTGGAAAGTCTCGTATTGAAGAAATTTTCTCAGGATCGGTTCTTATTACTCCTTTTCCAATTATCTGGCCTAGATATTTGATTTCTTCCATACAAAACTTGCTCTTTTCCACATTTATTGTTAATCCAGCCTCCCTAAATCTTTTTGCAACTAATTTCAATACCTCCAGATGATGAACAAATTCGTTCGAAACTATCAGCAAATCATCAAGATAAACGACAATTTCTGTTTTGAACTCATTCGGGATAACTTTATCCATGAGTCTCGACATCGTTTGAGGTGCGTTGCATAATCCAAAAGGCATAACCGTAAATTGATAAAGTGGACGACCTGGCACTGTGAAGGCGGTCTTTTCCTTAGATTCAGCATCCAGGGGAATCTGGCAAAAAGCATCTTTTAGATCTAATCCCGTAATAAACTCAGCTTTTGATAGTCTGCTTAAGATACCGTCAATGAAAGGGAGAGGATAAGCATCTTTAATAGTCACCATATTAACTTTTCGACTATCGGGACAAAGTCGATTTTTGCCAGGTTTACGAACTAGAACTACGGGCGAGCTCCAGGGACTAAGTGATTCTTCAATAACTCAAAGATTCAACATTCGATTTAACTCTTCATACATCATCTTTTCAATCGCAGGTGAGACAGGATAGTGACGTTGCTTGATTGGTCTGCAATTACCAACATCGATTGAATGGGCAATAAGATTAGTCTTTCCTAGTCCTTTTTTTGCAAATGACGGAAACAACTTGATTACATCCTATAAGGAGCTTTTCTGCGCAGCATTCAATTTGCAAAATTTAGCTTCTTGATTCTTCTCTTTAAATTCTGTGTCGCTAATTGAAAAGAGACTTAAATCAGGCAGACGATTGAAGGATTTCCAAAAGTCAATCCCCAAATATAATGATTGTGATAAGGAAGGAATAATGCACAATTCAATGGTGTTCTCAATACCTTTAAATTCGATGAGGGTTTTTAAAGAACCAATTATCTTTTGTTGTTTTCCATCAGCAGTTCTTACAGCTGATGTCATCTTTTTACATGGAATGTTCATTTGAAGAATTCGCTCAGCTAAGGCATTTCCGACACAGCTAATAGACGCACCAGTATCTAACAAACCATCCACTTCTTCATCAAAAACGAAGACACGGGCGTAAGGACATATATCGGTAGGATTGCTAATTATTGGCGATAATAATTTAAATTTTAATTGTTTCAAACTCCTCCAATACTTCTTCATTCT